ATATCCAAGTAGAAGACTATTCTCCGATTACAATATGCTATCAACATAATAAGGTAAAAAATAATTCGTGTAAAAGATGGCATGGGGGGGGATTTAATTTCATTGTGGTTCTGCTTAGCTTTAAACTAGCTATCTCAACTAAATAGAAGTTATCACTTCTAAGTTAAAAGTAGTTGAACCAAAACATCTTATTAATCACTTGATGTACAAAGATCACATCAAGTTATATGGTTACACCAAAAAATATTGTGCAGTTTCTTCATCTTGTGAACTCAGCTCTTTCTCTGAAGATATCAAAATGTTATTTGAACTCAATAAGTGTAAAATTTTTAATGTACAGTAAGGAAAGATAAACACTAATGGCTTCAAACTTGAATGCAGAGCTTAGATTGAACGAATAGGTAAAACCAAATTTTAGTCTCCCATAGGCAAGACATATCAAGAATTAAGCTCAAGGAGAAAGTTGTGGCTAAGAATATTGAGACTTACTAATGTTTGAAGTAATTAGAACCTTCGTAACAGACACTTTTGGAACTACAAGATAGACTATGAGAGATTTGAAAAGGATCCTTGCAAATACCTATACAATATTTACAAAATACAAGACCTATCGTGCTATGCCAATTATAGAAAATTAACACTTCTTCCTCAGAAAGAAAGAAGAGAAATGATAAATGTTTTCAGAGCACTTGAGAAATAGGTTAGAAACATAGTAATTCTTTTAGAACAAGTAGCTATCACTGAGTAATAGTAAAGGTTGAAAATAAGTACATGTCACTGGATTTTTCAAATGGATATGATAATGGTTTAACTCTGGATGGAGCCTATGAAGCAACTAAGACCCAAGAATGGAATCACAAGGCCCTTTATCAGTAGCTATGAACTCAGCTAACCACGTGACAAAGAAATGTCAAAGAAATGTCTGAGTCATGCAAATTTGTTTATAGGAAAAGAGGGGTCATTTATGACAATTCAGGATCAGGCCATCTTCACCAGAAATTACAGAAGAACTAGACTTAAGAAATCTGATCTTACTGATCAATGCAGATAATGAAACGGAATAGTAGAACTTGTTGGGACATTATAGCAAGATGCAAAAAAATTTATCACTTACTGAATACATAGTACAACATGACCTGCTGGCTATAATTATACATCAGAAACTCACTGTCTTACATAAGCTAACAGATGGAAAATCTCCATTCTACAAATATAGACTTTAAAGTTTGCTGGAGAACCCAACAACCAAACCCTACTATCAGTAGAATATCGTCACAGATGGAACTATTGCCTAAAATCGCCCAGATATAATATCGATCCATAAAACTTTGAGAGTAATGTTTTAATAGATGTTGTCATACAAAATTTTCATAATTTCCAAGCCATGTGGAATGAAAAGATTTCAAAATAGAGACCAAGCAACAGCAACCACAAGAATGATAATAATAAGGAAAACAATAGCTAGCATTTATATGGTACCTGCCACGTGCCAGGCACTGTACAAAGCATTTTACAAATACTATTTAAATTTGATCCTCACATCAACCCTGGAAGGCAGGTACCCTATTATCTCAATTCATGGAAAATTAGGCGAACAGATTTAATGACTGGCCCAATATCACACAGCTAGTATAACAATAATGATAATAATAATAGTAACAACATGTAAAAAAAAAATAGAGAGATCACCTTGCTGACAGAAGTCCATATAGGCAAAGCTAAGGTTTTTCCAGGAATAACGTATGACTACAAGAGTTGGATCATAAGGAAAGCTGAGCACCACAGAATCAATACTTTCGAATTGTGGTGCTGGAGAAGGCTCTTGAGAGTCCCTTGGACAGCAAGGAGATCGAATCAGTCAATACTTAAATAAGTTAATTCAGACTATTCTTTGGAAGGACGAATGCTAAAGTGGATGCTTAAATATTGTGAACCCATAATGAGAAGACAGGATTCATTGGAAAAAACCTGATGTTGGGAAAGATTGAAGGCAAAAGAAGAAAGGCAGGGCAGAGGATAAGATGGATAGATAGTGTCATGGAAGCAATGAACATGAGCGTGGCCAGACTTAGGGAGATAATAGAGGGTGGAAAGACCTGGCATACAATGGTCCATGAGGTCATGAAGAGTTGGACGTGACTGAACAGCAGCAACATAGAGCATTCCAGACGGTATGCTAAGCACTTTACAATTTGATCCTCACAATAACCCTATGTTTTCACTGATAAATGTGTAAATTACGTCAAGTTTTAGCAAACAGAAGATCAGGCTCTCTCTGGCAAAATTTTCAACAAATCAGTATTTATCTCTAAACTGTTACTACGCCTCCAAACCCAGTACTTTTGTGTCTGTACGTGTTTTCCTTCTGAATTGCATGATCACAGATATTTTAAACATTGCTTATTTTAAATAGCTTAGGCAATATTTTTCATAAACGAATAGAACCTACTTTTTGAGAGTGAATTCCTGTAGAATTTTTAATACCATTATGCTTCTTTCTTTCCCTTTCCAAAAGAATTTTCTTGGGTCCTTTCCACCCTTCTTCCTACACAAGTATAACTACAGCATGTGGGTTTTCCCAGTGATCCCCTGAGGCCTGATTAGCATCTAAATTTCCTTCTTTAATAAAAAATTCAATCAGGAGTCACTTAATGTCCCTGATTGGGTTTTTAAGTACAAAACAAAGTAGTGGTGCCAGTTGAACTGTAGGAGAAGTACTGAGGAGATCCTCAGGGGCCCTCTAAAGAAGAAGAACAGGTATTTTTTGTTCCACTGATTTCCAGGGTTACAAATCTACACGGGATTCCTACCTCTGTGGGCCCCGATGAACACATCTAATTTATGTTGTGTTGAGAAACTCAGTCAAAGAGCAACGAGAGGAACCTTGTTGAGTTTGAGAACAAAGCACCTGAGGGTCTAATCTTTGCCTGGAAACCTTATTCCTGCTGGGCAGAAAGAAGTGAGCCCCAGGATACAAATGGGAAGTAGTGGCATAAATGATCATGGGGAGGAAACAGATATAAAGTATGACACACATTTTAGATTTGGCCAATGTAGAAATTTGATTTGCTTGAGATAGATAAGTATGTAGATATATAGATATATAAGCACATACACACAAATACATATATACACCCACGTACATACACATACACATATATATGAAACCCTTGATATATAGATATAAATACATACACATTTTTATGTGTGTGTACATATATATATACTATATATATAATATATATGTATGTATGTGTGTGTGTGTATATGTGTGTGTATATATATATATATAGATATATAGATATATAGATATATAGATATATATATAGATATATATATATAGATATATATATAGATATATAGATATATAGATATATATATATAGATATAGATATAGATATATATACATCTCAAGGATTTTTCTTTTCTTTTTCCCCCTAGGGAGGTGGGTAGGAGGTAGAAGGGACAGAAAATAAATACTTGTTGATTGAGAAAAATAATCAGAAAAAAAGATATGGTAGCTTACAAATTCAGAGAATTCAAAGGCAGAGAAAAAAAAATAGTCTACGTATCTTACACGTAAAGTCCAAATGGTTTTATGCCATAGTTTGGCTCAAAACATTCCTTGTTAGAAATATTATATCTGACCTACCTGGCCAAACCTTTCTGGTTTGCAGCATTTGGGTTTTTTTTTTAATTATAGTAGTATTTTAGGATTGAGAAAAGTCTCTTAAGTAAAAGGCATATTGATTGTCTTGATTCTCAGGATTTACTGATCCTTTCACTTCACTAGACCTACGCAGTATATCTTTTAAAAAGTCTCAAAACTATAGGCTCAAGTGAGCAAGGCAGAACTAAAGGAATGTGGACTTCAGGGTTGTTTTCCTGCTTCCCTTGAAGTCCGGGATCTTTCTTGGCTCAGCCTGCCAAACTTGAGATCTTTTTCTGCTTCTCCCTATGCTTAGTGATGTTTCTTGTTCTTATTGTTCACTCATTTCAGAATTTTTAATCACAAGTCTTCAAGCACATTATTGAAAGGACATGCTACCTCACTTACCAGACTAAAATAACGCCAAAATTTCCCAGAAACTATCCCTATGGCTTGAAGAAGAAATGTCTCATTCTGATCAACTAATCAGCTCTCAATCATCCATACTCATGGAAGGGAACCCATGTCATACAGAATTCCAAAGAGCAGATAATCCAAAGAAGTCGAGTATTCAACTTTGGAATGTGTTTCTGTAGCAAATTTAACTTGTGGGTAACATTTTGGTCAGTCTGGTATTAAAATGTGTCATTCTGTGAATTTGGATAGACTACATCTCAAATTATGTTCCCACAAAAATGACAATGGTGTGTTATAAAAGACTCCTATGTAATATCACTAACCTACAATGTAGGTGTTAGTTCTTTATAACCTCCTGTTATAAGAGTGTGTTCTGTAGTTATTGTCTCAGTATGCTTAAAATAAGTCTGGGAAAAGTCACCTGGAGGGGTTCTCTGTAGCAGAAGGAAACCAATCAGAGATGTAAATATGCTATGGATGACCCATTGGTAAAATAACTTATATGAAAATAATAATGGCTTACCTACCTGCAACAAACATAGTCCTTTGACTGAATCCAAACTGATTGGCCATGCTTGAGGACCATGAGGGCCACACGTGGCCTTGAAGATGCAGGTTCCCTTCCCCCCGCCACCCCCCAGTTCTACACCATGACTTGTGGGCCTAACATTTCAACTCCAGTATGGAAGCAAGACTATGGAGATAAAGTCTCTCTACAGGAAGCATTTTTTAAATGTTCTCATTGCTTAAGATAATAAAGGCATTGCCATTGGTGTATTGTGTAATGTCCCTAAACATAAGAGGTCGCCATGCTTTCCTGATTTGGGAAGGTAGATGTTATAAGTTTGAGCTATGCCAAGGTTGAAATAATTTATATTGCTCACTGAAGATGTCCACAAAAAAAGAAAAGAATTAAAATACTGGTGTTTTTCAGGTGGCTGAACTAGTAACCAATGAGTTCTTTGAACAAGGAGACAGAGAGAGGGCTGAACTCAAACTCACCCCTTCAGTAAGTTTATTCTTATTTTTGTGAAACTGAATTCCTACTATCATAAGTAAGTCCTTTCATATCTCTTTCATTTCTCAGTTTTAAAAACGTAGAATACATACCTCACCACACACACACATCCCTTTCCTGTCTTTTTTTTTTCAATTGAGGTTAAGTGACTTGCCCAAGGTCACACAGCTAATATGTGTCAAGTGTTTGGTCTGAGGCAGGATTTGAACTCAAGTCCTCCTGGCTTCAGGGCCGGTGACCCATCCACTGTTCCACCTAGCTGTACCCACCCCCTTCCTGTCTTAAAGGGGCATTAGATATATTTATTAAAGTCTGAGTGACACGTGGAAGCCCAAAGATGAATAATCCTGGAGAAAGAACAGTGTCTTTATACACATTTTGTGCAGAGCATTCAGAAAGAATCCTCTTGTCACAACATCAATACAGAAAGCACTCTTCCCTCTGAACCTTACTCTTGCTAGATCCTAACCTACAAGTCAAAATCATATGCAAACTTGGTGAAAAAGACACACTGGCATCACTCAGGTCCAGTTATCTCTGTGAAGCAAAGTAAATGCAGCGATTTGGCTGTTGGGGGGTGCTTATGATTTGCGGGGAATCTGGACATAGGGAGTCTTGGTTTTGATGACATCACAAGTTAGAGACAATTCAACAGAATGAATTCCCAGAGGATGGAGATTTGTTGGTTCTGCTTATCAATCATGATCAATCAATCAATAAACATTTATGAAGCACCTAGTATATGCCAGGCACTATACTAAGCTTATGTTGAGTCAGAACTCTTTACTCCAAATGGGTTGGGACTTCTCCTGCCTAGAAGGGCTCTTCACCTGTCCCTCTGAGACTCACCAGCTCCCTTCAAAGCTCAGCTCAAGCACTGCCTGCTTAATCAGTCTTCTCTTGGCCTTGGCTACTAATGCCTGACCTCCAGACGTACTTTGTTTTTGGCCTGTCTGTTCTTTCATTTATTCACATGACATAGATTATAGATCTAGAGCTGAAAGGGACCTCAATGCCCATCTCGTCCAACCCCTCATTTTACACAGAAGGGAGACTAAGGCCTAAGTAAGTTAAAGTCATACACGTCATAAGTATAAGTATTATCTTCCCTGATGGAATAGAAGCCCTTTAAAGGCAATGACTTTCATTCTTCTATTTGTAGCCCCCATGCTTAATATAGTACCTGCAACACAGTAGGTGCTTTGTTGTTGAGTTTTTTTCCTCATGACTCCATTTTGGGGTTTTCTTGGCAAAGATACTAGAATGGTTTGCTATTTTCTTCTCACAGCTCATGTTACAGATGAGGAGACTGAGGCAAACAGAATTAAGTGACCCGCCCAGGGTCACACAGCTAGTAAATGTCTGAGGCCAGATTTGAACTCAGGAACATGAGTCTTCCTGACTTCATGCTCAGTGCTCTATCCACTGTGCCACCTATCTGCCCCAGTAAGTGCTTAAGAAATGCTTAGTAGTATATTAATTGACTCTAAAAGTCCATCTACATACAAATAGATTTCTACATATGGACCAGAATTTTTTTAGTTTTCAAAGCAGTCACTCATTTTATTATTTTCACATCGGTTTAAAAAATAAAAATTCTACTTCTTTGCAGGAACCATAGAGCTAGTAACCTTAAGAGAGAATTCAAATCCAATAACCAATAAATAGCCTCTGTTATGGGCAAAACAATGTTAGATCCCTCTCTTTTTGGGGTAGGGGGGAAGGATACAAAAAATAAGTGAAATCAAGCCTTTGTTCTCTAGGTACTTAGAGTCTAATCGGGTGAAGGAGAGAGATTCAATATTATTATAAGAGGCAGAATGTGACAAGTTCATAAGAGAAGTAAAAAAAGGAGGGGAGTGGGATAGGGGAGTGTGCTGTGAGAGGCCTCAGGCAGTGTGACTGATTTTGATTACAGAAATAAAGCTCTTGGACTGGAGTGCTCAGCATTTATGTCTGAAGGCTATGCGTAACCCAAGTGGCTTTCAGCTGCACACACTTTCAGAAGGTTTTTTTTTTCCCTTTTAAAAACTGCTTCCCAGGCAGCAGCTGAAGGGTTTACAATGCAGCAATACCACAGGTCATTTAATTAAATGAGAAAAATATGAGTAAATTGCCAGCGTTGGAGGGCTGGATGCCTCAATGAAGCAGGGCTAAGGAGCCTTTGTCTGTAGGCTCAGGTAAAGGGATTATCTGAAAGGCATGAATGTAATTCATTTGACCCAAGTCTAAATGAGACTCTTTCTTCACAAAGTGTCACAGGAAGAGAAACTGACCCTTACAATGAGGATGATTGGCTGAGGTCTTCCATGACAGCGCTAGGAAGGCATGCAAACAATTACCAAATTTCATCTTCATTTTTTCTTGCCAGGTTAGACAAGGGTGGGGAACCCACGGCCTCAAGGCCACATGTGGCCCTCTAGGTCCTCAAGTGAGCCCTTTGACTGAATCCAAACTTCACAGAACAAATCCCTTTAATACAAGGATTTGTTCTGTAAAACTTGGACTCAGTCAAAAGGCCGCCCCCCGAGGACCTAGAGGGCCACAGATGGCCTCAAGACCTCAGGTTCCCCACCCCTCTTAGGATAACTCAAAAGAGCCAGGGTTCCACCAGTGTAGATAGGCCTCCCCTGACATAGGTCAGAAGGTCTTCGCAAGTGGCAGTAGCAGAATAAATTCATAATAATAGCTAGCATTTAAATAGTAAGTACTATGTACCAGGTACCATGCTAAGTGCTTTACAATTATTATCTCATTTGATCCTCACAACAACCCTGGGAGGTAAGTGCTATTATTATCTCCATTTTACACATGGGGTAACTGAGGCAAACAGAGGGTAAATGACTTGTCTAAGATCAACAGTAAGTATCTGGGTCTGGATTTGAAATCAGGTCTTCCTGACCCCAGGCCCAGGGCTCTCTACATTGTGCCACCCAGCTGCCCTGGTGACCAATTTCTTAACCAAGCAAGGTTGGTCCTGGGCAGACCAGGAAGAATGAGGAGATGAGAATAAGCATTGAGGTAATGAAAATGAGAGACTGAAAGAAAAGTGATGGCATTGATAGAAATAGGGGATCTGCAAAAAGGGGAGAGTTGAGAGGAAAGAGTGTGTGGGAACAGGGGAAAGGGGTGATGGCAAAGCTTGAGAAAGTGTCAAGATGTGGATGAATTTTAGTTCTCAGTGAGGGCAAAGAAGGGGTTTGGAAGGAATGAGGCACAGAGAGACATGGAATGATAGGAAGTTACGGTCAGAGAAATGGAAGTGGAACACTTGTGAGTAATAGTGAAATCCAGGATAGGGTCATTCCTATGTTTGCCCGAGGTGGAGTGGAGAAGTAAACCATGGGATGTGAGGAGACTGAGATTAGCCTATTTAAGGGAGCACCAATATAAATGTGGAGTTTTCTTTACTTTGTTTTTCAGTCACGTCTGACTCTTCGTGACCCCATTTGGAGTTTTCCTGGTAATGCTACTGGAGTTTGCCATTTCCTTCTCTAGCTCACTTTACAGATGAGGAAACTGAGGGAAACAGGGTTAAATGATTTGCTCAGGGTCACACAGCTTGCAAGTTCTGAGGCCAGATTTGAACTCAGGAAGACTCATCTTCCTGACTTCAAACCCAACAAAGTCGGGGAAAAGAGAAAGGCAGTCAAACATTATTGATTACCATATGGCCAAGTCTGATCTGAACAGAAAGAATCTCTCAGGTTGAGCAAAGCAAGATATATTTTTTTAAAACTTTATGCAAACAGAATTCAAAGACAGGTGGCATGGTAGAGGGAAATGAGAGGTGCATACTGGCAGGATAGGGTGTTACTAAAACTACTCAAATAATAAATTGATTATGTTCGAAGGTGGACCAGTGAGGCTTAGCAAGTTCAGGAGGAGTCACCAGAGTATTTGGAGAAGGGTAAAATATTATCAGACATCATCAGTGTTGTCAGTAATGGAAATTACGCAACTGAGTAAGTACAGGCTTTTCATTGTTCTACCTAGAGGCAGAAAAGTTTACTTTAATTTCTTCAAATTAGTAACACCTAGTCTGTCCAAAGACCTTTTGATTTATGTGGAGCTTTCTAGACATGGAGCTGAAAAAGGCTAGCTTAAGGTCCTGAATCCAAAGATGGAAATTCAGAAATACTATGAAGGAAGGAAACCCTCTAATAAACATATAAAATAAGGTATTGATAATAATAAAAACTGACAAATTAACAACCTCCCATGAAGTAGGTAAATGTAAATTTTCTTTATTTCAAACGAAGCATCTCTTTGGGGCTCTTTGCCAACGTATCCCATTCTACTCTATTTCACCTCATACTGAGAATGAAAACCTACTGTATTTTCATGGCACTAAAATCCATGTCCTCCCCTTAAACTGGGCACCCACTTCCTATTGACTTGATTTTAGGAGGAGTTCCCATATTTGTAAATATTGCTGGCCCCAAGTAATTACATGCTATAAAACTCAAATTTGGCTTACAAATCTCATAAAAAACAGGTAAAATCATTTATTTTTCATCCTAGATAAAGGAATAAGATGTGTGTGTATATGATGTGAAGATTGGTTGTGATCTGTGAAATGTTCAGTTTGTAACAATTGGATCCTGGCTACAAAGTATTAGATGAAGCATGTGTGAAATACCTACCTGTAATAAAATGTGTGTGTGGTTTCTTTTCCCCCTTCATTGTAGGCTATTTTTGATCGAAACCGAAAAGATGAACTGCCTCGGTTACAATTGGAATGGATTGATAGCATCTGCATGCCTCTGTATCAGGTAACTTTTGCTTGTGAGTGTCTGAAAGCCCTATCTCACCCAGGAAAGCAAGATATAACAGCCTTGGAAGCCTGGGTATTATCAAAACCTTTCAGGGACTTTTTGTAGTGCTTGAAATTTGATTTGCTATCTTTTCTCAGAATACTGAACATCCAATGGGATAAGGAATCATTAGAACTGATTCCCATTCCCTTTCTGCTGTTTACAAGCTATATGACCTTGGGCAGGTCATTAACTGTCTCTCTCAAAGCCTAGATTGTCTCATCTACAAAATAGATTTTAAGAGAGAAGGACTAGTAAGATAATATCTTGTAGTCCTTTCTAGCTTCATGGTCTATGATTTTATGAGTGCCTGAAACAACTGGGCTAGATTTGGAGTCAGGAAGATCTGAATTCAAATCTCTACCTCTGAAGAAATACTTGTTGAAGACAAGGATGGTTCTAGTATGGCATTTCTTCACTTCATTGATTTTCAGGAGGAAGACTATTTTTTTCTTTTTAGGCAATTGGGGTTAAGTGACTTGCCTAGGGTCACATAGCTAGTAAGTGTCAAGTGTTTGTTCTGAGGCTGGATTTGAACTCAGGTCCTCCTGATTTCAGGGCTGGTGCTCTATCCACTGCGCCACCTAGCTGCCCCTCAGGAAGACTTTTTTTTGTTGTTCAGTCGTTTTCAGTTGTATCTGACCCTTCATGGCCTCATCTGAGGTTTTCTTGGCAAAGATATTGGGAGTGGTTTGCCATTATTATTATTAGCCATGTTTCTTTGAGTAAGTCATTCAAACTCTCTGAGCCTCAGTTTCCTGTAAAATGGGTTTAACACATATAGCACCTAGTATATCTCATGAAGTTATTGTGAGACTCAAATGAGATATTTGTAAAGTGCTTTGAAAAGCGCTCTGAGTTCTTTAATAAATACTATTTAATATTATTGTTCTTATCATTATTACTAGTGTAACCAAGCTGTGTTTGACAATTCCATTTTAATATATCAGTATAATATTATATATTTATATAAATATAATATATTATAATAATATAATAAATAGTTTGGCTGAATCAAAGCCATCCCCCTATGTCTTCACTTCAGAAGTAAAGACAACAGTGAACTCTTCCATTCAAGCACCACTTTGGGGATCTAGCTTATTTGGGAGAAAGAAAGACTCTCTTATATTAGCAGTGACAGCTCAGTGTATACTGACTATTTAGTTTTATTTCTATTTATTTGTTTGGAAAAGGAAAACCTGGTTTGTTCTTTACCCCCTACTTAGTGCAAATCAGATCGGGCCTCATTTTCATTTCAGAGTGAAAAGCCCATGTAGAGAGAGCAAAATCTATTTAGTTTCTCGCTCTATGTAACTTCCATTAAAAAACATTGTATTTTTTGAAAAGACTTTGCAGCCATTATGCCTAAGTCTTATCTCCTACTTCATTTTTAGTACTTCTGAGATATGCTTGGCTTTTTCACATTAACCTGGAAAAAGAGCTGTCATGAAGATGGAAATTTCATTTCTCTAATGGCTATAAATAACTGATGCATATTCATTCTTTGAGTCTTAAATTATCCATTGAATCGGTAATAAAATGAAATCTGAAGTGCAAAGTTGAAAGGGAACCTAAAAATAGATATAGTCTAAATATAAAGAGTGTGAAGTATTCTTGTTCTTTTTTAAAAATTGAAGCATTGAGTGGAAAAAGTTCTGGAATTAAAAACACCACACACTAGTAACATCTACTTTTATTTCTGGTATTCTATTTATAAAAAATAAAGTTCTTACTCCATAACTCCATTTGGTCAAGATCACTTTATTGTCCTTAGTCATATTTACTTATTCAACTTCAGCTAAGTCCTTGACATGAGTCAATAATGATGAGAGGTAGCATGGTGTAGAAGAGGTGAGCCGGCTTCAGAAAGCCAGAAAGACCTGGCTTCAAGTCTTGTCTATGACATATTGTAGTTATGAGACCTCAGCAAAGTCACTTAGGCTCTCCAGGTTTCAAGCAGCTCTAAGAGAGTATCAGTCATAGACCAACTACCCATCCGTGTAAGTGGAAGGAGCTTGGTTTTTTGGGTTTGGGGGTTTTTTTTTGCTTAGAAATTTCATATCTCAATGACATCACATATCTAGTCCCTATTGATTTGTCAGTCTAATGAGATTTTCTGTTAAGAGCTGCCTCCTTCTTATCCCAGGAATGCTCAGATTCAGATGCAGTAAGCCATATAACATCCTCAAGACAGACAATACAATTCTCATGAACCAACTATTATTGTCTGTCATGTGTCGGGTGTCGGGACTATAAAGCAAAAATGATACAACTCCTTGCCCTGAAGGAACTTATATTCAATTAAGATGGGAGTTCATGAGGACCAACATAGGCATGAGCTCCTACACAAAATAATTACTTAATAAATGCATGTTTACTGATTGACTGATACACACTGAATCTTGACTATTTGATCTATCTCCCTAGGTTAGGTTTGGAAGGTTCTAAGAGCATTAACCTGGCACTCCGACTTGCTATATGCATAAGTATAAGCACATTCTTTTGACTTAAATTATAATAAGTGTTGAAAATGGTCTTCAGGTGATTGTCACTATCAAATCATCTGACCCTTTTCAACAGAGTGTCACAGATCTCTTTGCTCATTCTTTATTTCCTTTTAAATATAGAGCTTCTGGTAAAAAGTATTTTTGTTGTTGTTAAGTCATTTCAGATGTGTCTGACTCTTCCTGACCCCATCTGGGGTTTTCTTGGCAAAGATACTGAAGTGGTTTGCAATTTCCTTTTCCGGCTCATTTTGCAGATGAGGAACTGAGGCAAACAGGGCTAAGTGAGTTAAGTGACTTGCCCAGGGTCACACAGCTAGTAAGTGTCTGAGGCCAGACTTGAACTCAAGGAGATGAGATTCTACCTATCTAAAATTCTGGAATCTACATCTCTAATAACCAGGTTCTTGCGCTTAAAAAATAATTCTGTTACTTCTCTGCATGTATGTTTTCATTTCCACGTAGGGCAGCTGTTATGACTTTTGTTTTATTATTGGACAAAGAAAAATGCAAGAGATTAAAAATACAAGAGATACAAAATAAAAGATCAACTGTCCACCTGGTTGACTGGATAGCAGGCTCATAGCTTCAGTCTTCAATCAATGGCCCTCCATAAGTCACTCTCTGCTGAAATTTTCCTTCTCATTTGCTCCTTCTGTTTAAAACACTAAGAGCAAGGGTGGAGTTTCTTTGTTCTTGTTGCTGTTTAGTGAGCGATGTGTAATGTTTGTTGGGAAAGGTCTCATGTTTTTACCTGTCAATACACATTAACATTGGATGAAAATGTTAACCCTCTTATAATTGGTTTCTCAATGATTTTGATACTTAGAGGGATAGGTGGTTGCTGTTCTAATTTGGGATCAACAAAAACAAGAAGGTTGTGATGAAGGGACCTGAGTGATGTTGGAAGTAGTAGCTAGACTCTCTCCTGGCTCTGTTAGCAATATAGGAATATCCTATGGGTCCCAACCTGTCATTGTCATCCCATCCCATGCAAGTCTTGTAATGTCCTCCATAAACCCTCCATGGGGAAGGCTATCCAACCTGCTGGGGCCCTTCCAGTGGAATACATGGACTGTTCACCAGTTATGCCTCCCTCTCACCACATCCCTTTTACCCCACTGGTTCTACATTTCTCCAATGGCTTCCTTTACATCGCATATCGTGAGCACCTGGTAGTATGTTACTGCCTGATATGGCCCACTATGCCTCTCCATTACCTTCTGAGTGATAATAGCCTTTAATTCTTCAAAGACTACTATTTTATCATTTGCAAAATCTTCTAGATTCCATATTTTTCCATTATTAGAGTGTTGTTGTCAAAAGATGGGCTTAGCCACTTATTGTCATTAATTTTAAAATAAGTCTTTTGGGAATGAACTTTTTTGGTTGAACAGTATCATTCAGTGGAAAGAGTTTTGGAGCTAGAGTCACAAGAGACCTTTGCCATATCCTACCTCCATCACTTAACTGTGTGACCTTGGGAAACTCATTTTTACCTCATCTGAGCTTTAATTTCCTTATCTCTAAAGCAAGGGTAATGATCTCTCTAGTAACTCAGAGGATTGTTGAGAGGGTGCAAAATGCTTCATACACCTTAGAGAGCTATATGGATGTCAGCTACTTGAATCTAGAGCAGATGGGTGGCTCAGTGGATCGAACATGGAGCCTGGAGTCAGGAAGACTCATCAACCTGAGTTCAAATATGGCCTCCTATATTGACTCATATCCCTGAGTTCAAATTGACGTCAAACAGATACTAGCTGGGTGATCTGGGCCAGTCACTTAACCCTGTTTGCCTCAGTTTCTTCATCTATAAAATGAGCTGGAGAAGGAAATGGCAAACCACTCCTGTATCTTTGCCAAGGAAAACCTCAGTGGGGTCATGAAGAGTCAGACAAGGCTGTAAAGAGTAAAACTTCATGACTCCAGGCCCAGCACTATCCATTGAACCGTCTAAGTCATCTAGCCCCATTACTATAATACAAATTCAATCTGTAACAGCGGTTCTCCATTAACCTGTAATTCTAACAGAGAATCAAATCAAAATAAATTAGTTTTGCAAGAGATTACTTGAAGGAATGAGCCATCTGGTAATCTTGGTGGCTGACTTGTATGTTTCTTGGGAAAAATGTAAAACAAAAGTTTTTTAAAGGACTTGTAGGCACATTTTGACATTATTCATAATAACAATAGAGCTACATGGAGCAGAAAGTGCCTGAGCCCCCTCAACAAAATAGGGGGCACCTACAAAGATTCAGCCCCCTGAAGCTCACTCAGGGGGTGTGATACTCACATATATTGCATTATGCTGTATGAAAATAGCTGAGCTTTTCCCATCCTACTGCTTCAAAGTTTTTTTTTCCCCCTCAAGAAAGAAAGGGGTTATATCATGTAAAAGTAATGATTTATCTGTGGGAGCGTTTTAATCCAAACGAGTACAAGAAGCTGGAG